TTGACGACGCTTCGGTCAAGACCCTTGTTATCAATGATAGTTAGAACAATGCATGGAAGTTTTGACACATTTATCGAGGCAGTTCGTGTCGCCATTTGCGCAACATCAGTTGGAGCCAATTTGTGAACATTAGCTAGAGCCAGTTTGTGAACAACAAGTGGCTTCTTGTTGGAGATTCAGTGGTTTTTATGAGGGAAAAATTGACTAGCGAATTATATGTCGAGATTAGACTTGCGGTTCGAGGGATTGCTAGCATTTAGAATTGTCGAGGGTGAGGCGTAAGGTAGGGGTAGGAGTGGTGGTGGTCTGGTGGAATAGGGAGAGGGCGAAAGAAGATCATATTTCTTTTCTTTTTTGATTTTCTAATTTAACTTATTTGGGACATGTTTGTAGTTTATTTAAACAAAATTGGGGGTATGATTGCAATTATTTATTTTTTTTTCCATTTTTTTATTTAAATAGGAGGGTATATTTATCATTTTATAATTTTTAATTGAGAAAATGGATAAAAATTGATGAAAATGACATTTTCCATAATGAAACATGAAAATAGTGGTGAAAATGCTAGAATTTGAAATGTAAGAACGTTTTGTACACTAAAATTCAAATGTATGGACATTTTGTGCTAATAAGCAATGAACTTTTCGTTAAAACTAAAACTATGAAGACTGGGAATTGAAATAGGGGAATGTAGTAGTCATAAATGACGGAAAATGTTAGTGTATTATCATAAAAATAAAATAATCCAATAAATATTTAAATATTTTCTTAGAAGTACCATATATAATAATAATCTATTTGTTTATTAAACGAGTTAAAATATTGTTTTTTATACATTTATGATTAAATTAAGAACTTTTTAAAACCTTGCCTATTGCCAAGCCCAATTGCACAAGTTCATTGTTGCTCTTTCACTTGTCCAACTCCAAGTGACTAAATCCATTTTCTCTCCACTTCTTCACGTGGCAGGCTTCTCATATGCATTTGGACTTGCCCTAAACCTCCCACAGAGTGAATAAATGAAGAATCGACACAGTGATCTATTGGGGAGAGTTCGAGATCGCCATTCATACTTCAAATTTTCTCTTCTTGTGCTAATTTTGTGATTTTTCTTCCATCTAGGTAATAAATTTACTGTTGATTTTACATGTTTTTATTCTAAAATTCATTTGAATTTGATATTTGAGAAATATATTCAACCATAATCCCCATTGCTTTTTATCTCATTTGAAAATGAAAAGTTTGAGTGCTTGACACAAATCAATAATTCAACCTAATTTTCATAGTTATTCAAAATTATGTCCTCAGGTTCTCAGACAGATTAGATTTTCAATTGTTTTCCTTTGATTCGTAGTTTAATTTTTAGCGCATTTTCTTGTCATACTTAAAATTAAATTGGTTAAAATATTCGACAATAGTAATAATGATGTAATTATACGACGTTTTCAGAGTATGAAAATGTATACTTTTAGTAGTGTACAGACTTATCTTCATTAATCATATGTTGTTTAAAAAAAATTATATTTTAATTTTTGACCCCACAATATGAAATGTCTGGCTTCATCCTTGCTCGGGACCTTAAACTAAGGTATTAAGTAGTTATGCACATAGCACTCTCTACTCTAATTGGCTTATTACGTTAGCAGTAAAATTACTTTTTAAAAGTTAATAAGTTTTAAGAAAGGATGAAATTTGAACTGAAAATGGGGGAGACTTATAAACCCTAACTATCTGATGCTTGCATTCTTTTTTTAGAACTAGAAGTTGATTTTAAGTTGTGAAACTTATAGTAATTTACGTCTCATTCTTTGAGAAATGTTTAGAATCTTCTATTACTTGTTGCCAGGTCTAGATTTATGGCATTTCCATGACCAAACATGCTAGAAGTACAATATTTGGTACAACTTGATTAACAAGGTGGACAAGTGGCAATCTCTTATTAGATGGGCGACGGTCAATGTGGATAAACTTGTGTGGCCACTGAGGTTAAAAATGCTTTTCCTTACATGATTCCATTTGGCATTAATGGTATTTTGCTGTTGGGAAATTAGGTAAAATCATTTCATTTTATTGAAAATTTAATTTGACTTGGCTCATGAGTATTCCTTCAATTTTGTCACATCAAATACATTAGATTTTGCACCCTGGCTCCATTATTTTGCTTTTAAAAGTTGTTAAACGTTATTGGTTTGTGTGCACAACACCTTTTTCGATACGCTAATATTGAATTGTAATCGATTTTGGACCTTCTATCACTTATTTTATTTCGAGTAAAACGTTTATACAAAAGAAGATAGTCATAACTTGAAGATCAAAAAGACCTAACAGATTTCTTGCAGAGTTTAATGTCCTTATAAATTGGCAATTTGCTTTGCTTTGCTTTGCTTCTTTCTTCTACGGACCACAAGAAAGTTTCATTTTTCCTAAAGTGAGGAAATAATATTAAAGCATATAGACATTTTATGATAAGAATATTAAAAACTTGGATATTTGTATTGTTGGTATTTATTTATTTATTTATTTTTTTATAGAATGTGTAAGGTAGAAAATTTCCGATCACTCATTCCAGTCAAGGATGTACTAAAGTTCTAGTCGTCATTATTATTAATACAACTCATGAGTGTGCAAAAGAGTAGGGTCATTGTCTTTCTTTGCAGGGACATGAATGGGGTCACAAAGGTAAGAAAAATGAATTTCTTGAATTTTATAGTGTTTGCGAAATTAAAAGGTCTCACACATTGTAATCATTCAAAGCTTCAAGTTGACTGCAGAAAAGAAATTAAAGGTTTCACCAATCACTAAATCATTTCATGACTTTCATCATATGCTTTTTTGGGGGAACTTAGCTTTTGCATTATTGTAGGATCGCACCCAGAAAAAAAAAGGGCTTCATCGATGATTTTATAGTCAATCTTTACATCTTTGCTGAAGAAATTTCCCGTTTTAATCTTTTCATTCTAGGGAAATTTTATGTTATGAGGAAAATTCCATTCATGGAAGTTAATTTTACAGTCCTTGTTCATCAAAACTCCAAGATTGGAAGTATTTCAACTTCAATTTGGATTTCTTATTAGGGAATCAATTCAAAACCAAAAATAAATGTTATTACGCTGAAAAATAAAAAGGTGCTAAAGTGATCAACTTATCCAACAAAGATGGTAGAGCTAAATTTGATTTATGAAGTAATTATTAAGAACATGTTTGGTACATAGTACTCGATATTTCCCTAATAAACTATACTGAATAAGATTGGACGGTGCCTTTTTCTCATTATCATCTACCGCCCTTTCTTTCAGTAGAGGCCGATATGTCATTGGGACACTTTTTTTCTTTTTCTTTTTTTTACTTAGTACTGTATACTACTGTAATCCATTTGATAAAATAAAACCATAATTAATGTTGCATTAAGTGATACATGTATAACTCATTCTTCTGAGTTTTTTCAAGAGTAGAATTCATAAGTTGATGCATCAGCAACTATATTCCTCAGTCCACCAATAGTTGATGCCACCATAATGAACACTCCAATAAAAATGCATGCCTAAACATCAGATAATAAGTTTTTAAGTATTTTAGGATTGAAAAAAATAATAATAATTATAAAATAAATCATCTCCAAAGGAGGAACTGGGGTTTGTATAGTTTATAGTAATTTACGTCTCATTCTTTGAGAAATGTTCAGAATCTTCTATTACTTGTTGCCAGGTCTATATTTATGGCATTTCCATTACCAAATATGCTAGAAATATCATATTTTGTAAAATTTGTGTGGCCAAGTGACAGGGTGGACAAGTGACAGTCCCTTATTAGAAGGGCGACTGTCAATGTGGATAAACTTGTGTGGCCACTAAGGTTAACAATGCTTTTCCTTACATGATTCCATTTGGGATTAATGGTATTTTGTTATTGGGAAATTAAGTAAAATCATTTCATTTTATTGAAAATTTAATTTGACTTGGCTCATGAGTATTCCTTCAATTTTGTCACATCAAATACATTAGATTTTGCACCCTGGCTCCATTATTTTGCCTTTAAAAGTTGTTAAACGTTATTGGTTTGTGTGCACAACACCTTTTTCGATACGCTAATATTGAATTGTAATCGATTTTGGACCTTCTATCACTTATTTTATTTCGAGTAAAACGTTTATACAAAAGAAGATAGTCATAACTTGAAGATCAAAAAGACCTAACAGATTTCTTGCAGAGTTTAATGTCCTTATAAATTGGCAATTTGCTTTGCTTCTTTCTTCTACGGACCACAAGAAAGTTTCATTTTTCCTAAAGTGAGGAAATAATATTAAAGCATATAGACATTTTATGATAAGAATATTAAAAACTTGGATATTTTTATTCTTGGTATTTATTTATTTATTTATTTTTTTTATAGAATGTGTAATGTAGAAAATTTCCGATCACTCATTCCAGTCAAGGATGTACTAAAGTTCTAGTCGTCATTATTATTAATACAACTCATGAGCGTGCAAAAGAGTAGGGTCATTGTCTTTCTTTGCAGGGACATGAATGGGGTCACAAAGGTAAGAAAAATGAATTTCTTGAATTTTATAGTGTTTGCGAAATTAAAAGGTCTCACACATTGTAATCATTCAAAGCTTCAAGTTGACTGCAGAAAAGAAATTAAAGGTTTCACCAATCACTAAATCATTTCATGACTTTCATCATATGCTTTTTTGGGGGAACTTAGCTTTTGCATTATTGTAGGATCGCACCCAGAAAAAAAAAGGGCTTCATCGATGATTTTATAGTCAATCTTTACATCTTTGCTGAAGAAATTTCCCGTTTTAATCTTTTCATTCTAGGGAAATTTTATGTTATGAGGAAAATTCCATTCATGGAAGTTAATTTTACAGTCCTTGTTCATCAAAACTCCAAGATTGGAAGTATTTCAACTTCAATTTGGATTTCTTATTAGGGAATCAATTCAAAACCAAAAATAAATGTTATTACGCTGAAAAATAAAAAGGTGCTAAAGTGATCAACTTATCCAACAAAGATGGTAGAGCTAAATTTGATTTATGAAGTAATTATTAAGAACATGTTTGGTACATAGTACTCGATATTTCCCTAATAAACTATACTGAATAAGATTGGACGGTGCCTTTTTCTCATTATCATCTACCGCCCTTTCTTTCAGTAGAGGCCGATATGTCATTGGGACACTTTTTTTCTTTTTCTTTTTTTTACTTAGTACTGTATACTACTGTAATCCATTTGATAAAATAAAACCATAATTAATGTTGCATTAAGTGATACATGTATAACTCATTCTTCTGAGTTTTTTCAAGAGTAGAATTCATAAGTTGATGCATCAGCAACTATATTCCTCAGTCCACCAATAGTTGATGCCACCATAATGAACACTCCAATAAAAATGCATGCCTAAACATCAGATAATAAGTTTTAAGTATTTTAGGATTGAAAAAAATAATAATAATTATAAAATAAATCATCTCCAAAGGAGGAACTGGGGTTTGTATAGTGCTCTTACCCAGTTGATAATCCATGATAAGCTGAATCTCTGAGGCTTCATAAGTTTTAGCCATATTATGCTTGGTAGCTGCAGAGAAAGTTTTCTTTTTACTACTAGTACATGACTATAAGTCGGAAACTTAAGATAAGCAAATGGTAATTGAGACTTACAAAGTAAGAAGTTGGAGCAAAGCCAAATCCGCCGAAGAAACCCAGTAGGTCACCAAAGAAAGGGAAGGTGACACCAATAAATAGGGTGAAAGCTGATAAAATTAGTATCCTTGTGAGTAGAAATGCTGAGAAAATAGTCTTTTTTGTTGTAATTCATAGATGAAAAAGTTATGAAAGTTATTCCATTTCGTTTAGCGCATTTGACTGACAAGATTCTTACCAACATAAGCAGAACGAACAATGAGTCTTAGCATAGCTCCCGAGGGAAAGTTCAATCTTTTCACCATTGTTCTCTCAACTAAGTCAAATACTGGCATTGCATAAACCTGCAATATTTTTTCTTATTAACTTAGCAAGCTATTTTACTTTTCTTTTACATAACTTATTCTTAGACACACTGCGCCCACCTGCAACGTGAGATGTGTAGATAAAGAGACCAATCGTCCTAGACCAACAAAAAAAATCTTAGACTTTCCGAGAAAATCGATTACATATGTAAAAATTTGTACCTGATAGCTTCCTATAACATGGATGACTACCATCAAGTTAGCAGCAGCAATGAGCCATGATGGTCTCTGAAGTGCAACGAGCACATTATCAGTTACATCTTGACCAAATGCCCAGTATCCAACCAAAGCAACTGGAAAATAGCAGATTCCATTGATGAAATATGCCCAAACAGCACCTTTCCACATTGGAACCTTAGAGGGCTTCTCAGGAGTGGATGGAATTGTGGCCTGAATTTCAAGCACCACAGCATGGCCAGCATAGGCAAATGTAATCTGCCCCAAAGCGTTAAAAACACGAAACATGTAATCAGCTCTGCTCGTTTTCTTGTACCCGTAGTTCACGTTTTCGACCCTGCCTCGACTCAAGCACGCCACCCAAGCTATAGTTGAATAGCTGCAGTTTAATACATATTTCCCATTACATCAAAAGTAGCATCCCTTTTGGGATTTCTTTCGGTATTTCAATTTATTTCAAAGTTCTTAACATCGAGGGAAAAAATATGAAAAATCGAAATGAGGGAAGTACCTTAGAGACATGACTGCAGCAGCTAGTGAAACACCAGAAACAGAGTTGAAGTCAGGCAATTGAGAGAGGAAGAAATGGAGACCTCCAAAGATGCAAATCCAGTAGGATTGCCTAATTGGGTGACAACTGGTGCAGGCTATTTCCATGAACTTCTTGAGACACTTTCCTCCAGTGACCATATATACAATGTCACAACCTACTTGGACAATAAGCTGCTGAGGGAGTACTATCCATGGCCCGTATTTCGGGCCAAAGGCATGTCGGCCAAGGTCATAGTACCGATCAAAACGAACCCCAGGAACACATTCATGGAGCTGTATCATCTGCCACATGGTATTCAATGTGATAATCCAAGATACTGCCAATACCAAGGTCCCCGGACCCCTGCCAGAGAAACCATCAGGCGTTAATCGCACAATGATAAATAGAATGCATTCATTAACACTCAAAAGCAAACATGGCAGGTCGATTTGAAATCTACTTAATAACTGAGTAGTATGATTAGGTTCCACACGGTCCAAAGAGAGAGAGAGAGAGAGAGAGAGTACCATCCTAAGTAAGCCATGGCATAAGGCAGGCTGAGGACACCAGCACCAACCATGGCCGTGACAGTGTGAAATGTCGAGTACCACCATTTGGCTTTACGAGATGGATCTATTTCAGTCCATTTATCATCTGCTGGAACTTCCTGCACCATGCACAAATATCATAACGCAAACTCATGAACTTTTGTGCAAGAACTCAATCAAATTCTTAGCCTTCAAAAAGTAAAACAAAAATAATTAAAAATAAAATAAAATTACTAACTTTAGGCTCTGAAGGAGCTGGAGCAGATGACGCCATTTTTGCACCAAAACAAATTCACACCAAGAATGCAGGGATTCAGTGATTGTCATCATGTATTTGTAGTGGTTGATCACTTATATTTTTGTTGATAAAGGTGAAGAGGACACTTCTATTGGCCACTAATACTTTTTCTAGCAAACTTTTGCTGCATCAACTAAAAAGCCAATCTTTACTTGAAGAAATAAAATGACACAAAAAAGATGGCAAATACAATGCATAGATATTAAAAATATGAAATAATTAGCAGATTCCTTGTCTAGATTGAATTTGGACATGATGTCAATTCACTAGGAAAAAAATAGTAAAGGTATTTCCGAGATTTATCTGACCTTTAATTAAACCATATAAAATACATTCAATACAGAGATTGTGTAGTTTAATAAACTAATCAAGATTTCTCTTAACTTCATGATTACTTCAGCACTAGCAAGTAGCAACTCATCATTAAGCTATTTTGTGGATTTATCTTTAAAGCTTAATGGAGATTATATTTTACTAATATAAGTCGGAAAATTTTGGACTTGATTAACTTGAATTGAACCCATTGTTGAACTAATGTTGAAGATTGTGTGTGGATTTATTCAGTTACCATGTTTTAAATTAAAGGCGTTGATGTAAAATTTTCATAAATCGATGTCTGATATGGTATTTTGTTAAATTAAATTTCTCATCTTCTAAAAATGTTAAATTGTTAAGTGAGTGAATTATTCAGTAAATTTTTATCTTTGACAGTAGACAGTAATTATGGATTTGTATCCATCATGATATGATTATTTGGTTTTTAGGTGAACTTCGCAAAGAGGCTACGGTTTGAAGCAAAAGAAAGTGAATTTTTTCCTACTTTAGTCCAGTGATCACTATGCCCATACAAAATTTATCAAGCTATAAAAAGAAAGAAAAGTAGAAACTATTTGTTATTTGTGGTGGGTTTCAATAGTTGATATATATCGAAGGACCCACCGTGAGTAAATAATTGAAACATCTCGACTACAAGAGGAATTTGTTTGTAAAGAATTAGTAGAACATTTGATATTAAATTGACATTGTTTACGTCTTAGAAGGTCTCTAAGCCATCAATAAAAATATTGATACATAAGTTCACTAATCTACGTTGAAGGTGCATTGAAATGCTTTATTAGTGGTATAAAAGTAATATTTTAATATGCGTGAATGTTAATTAATTTAAAATTAATACCATTAAATATATACGTGGCAATAAATGTTATATCATTTATTTAATTTTCAATTAAGTAAAACCGGTTGTTAATTAGCATATATGGACGTAAATAATGAAATGCGTTCTCAAATGCGAAATTTTAGTTAACTTATAATTAGATTTAATAACACTAAAATGCATAAATAACGATGAATATTAATTAAATGAATATGAATATTAATTAATTGAGAATTAATATTAAGGAATTTATACATTAATGAAAGCAGTCAGGTGAAATAAATTCGTCAAACGTACATGTACATTGATGGTAACTAAATAGTTAAATAAATTAAATACATATTGAAAACGAGAACTAAGATATTATTGAAATAATTAAATTATAATAAATTTAGAATCGTCCAAAAATTAATTCTTATCTTGACGTTTAATATATTATACATTTAAAACATTTTAAAACTTAATTTTAAGTGCAAGAGTTTGAAAGTTTTGAAACAAGGCTAGCTGGACGCAAAGTGATTGTCACGCAACAAGAGGCCTGACGCTTTTACTTGCTCATATTTTTATTGCCTAAGTACTCTCTAAGTAGTGTTAGCCCTAATTTGACTCCCATTAATTTCTATTACATTACATTTTTCTCTCTTTTATTTTCAATCACACAATCTTCCATAAAATAATATTATACATAAATCGAAAACTTTTCTTTCCTTTTCAACCGCTCGTTTTTCAAAATAATACTATTCCACCCATTTTTAACTCTACAAAATGAGTACCAAATAGGGGCTTAGTGCTTAGGGTTGTCTAATCATTTTAGTTAAGATTACTATAATTATGGTCTTGATTAAAAAAGAAAAGAAAAGATGTAGCTAATTATAGAGTTATTGTTGCTTTTGGTTGATAATGAGTAGACATTGCAAATTCTTGGCATTGTGTCACATCTTTCACTAAATCACTATGAGATCAACAATTGTATTCTTGCGTTGTACCACCAAGAAGACGTACTCAAAAAGCCTGGATTTGAGATGAGATGAGATCGTAGAATTAGTGTAACCGTTACTATCACTTATGTACGTCGTGATGGCTTAACCATTGACAATTTTTTTTTTTCCTTGGAATGAGGAGATAGTGAAGAACAATTTGTTTACCTCTCTCAACCTATATCACAGAAGGGGTGCGGCTATGAGGATTATGAATGAAGATTTACATTCGATGTTTAGATAAAGAAGTTATTGAAGTGGATATTTGTCATTTAAGAACTTAATTTCAAGGATGTGGTAAAGAAATAAGGATATTGTAGATTATTTTATTTTATTTTATTTTATTATTTTTTTTTTTTAAATCCCCCATGAATATTCTAGAAATGCTGAACTGAACAAGTTGAATGAGCAGAGTTGGGCCGACCCAAAATGGACTGGGCTTGTGAAAAATATTGGGTCTTGAATTCGGGCCAGGCCCATAAAATTTTTACACGTGCTAGAGGCCATCTAAAACATGGAACGTTTTGATTCGATCCGACCCACCTTAAACACCTCTACTAGCGTGCACGTATATAACTAGCATTTCTAGTTAATTGCAATCATAATAGGGGGAAAATTTATATCTAAGAGTTTAACTTTAACCTATTTAAAAATTAAAAAATAAAGTTTAAAATTTCAAAAATCAAATATTATTAAATTTCATTTATAAAATAATTGATTAAAAATATTTTATTAATTAATCGTACTAAGGTCACAAATTATCGAATTAATTGATTACAAATTATTTTTTGGTCACAAATAAAAAATTTTATAGGCCACAAATTATTCATCGATTACAGAATCAAAACTTTTATTGGTCATATTCATTTATCGATCACAAATTATCAAATTAATTGATGGTTACAACTTAATAAATTGTAAGTCACAATTACATTTTTTAGGCCACATATTATTTATTTATCACAAATTAATCAATTTTTTTTTATAATAATCAACCAAATAATTGGTCACAAACACCTCCCGTCCCATCTCATCAACCCACGACTACCACCACCGCCATTGCCATTACCACGACCACTGCCGTACTCCCCAAATCGTGCAATACCACCACATCAATGGAAACTCATCAACAGCAAATCATATGTGCCTTGTGCACCGCATATGACCATCACCAACACCACCAATACAAAACCACCTCAAAAATCACCACAAACCCACCACAAAATCCCATCACAAAAAAAAAATCACCACAAACCAAAATCCCATCGTCGTTGCCGTGCACAACAATGCTCAAAGCACCGCGCATTACCACAACCACCTCAAATCCATCATCTCTTCTATCACCACACCACACCATGAAAATGTTGGAATATAGTGATGTTAATGAAACCGAATTATCACATGCCATATGTATAGTTTAAACACCAATTTTAAGTATACCGTATATGGCACTTACCGTATTTGCAGTTTATCGTATATGCTGCCTACCATATTTGCAGAAAGTTCACCGTATATGGCAGCTCACTGTATTTGGCAGCGAAACTCACCGTATTTGCATAGAATCTGCATAAAGTGTTTTTATTCATACACTAACTAAAATAAAACAACTTTTCCACTTTACAAATAGAAATACCGTACATGTGAAATATATTTTCACACATATAACCAATTAAAAAAATGTTTATTTTATTTTAATTTTTTTTCTTTTCTTTTCAGAAATCTATTTCTAACATAAATTTAACAAATAATATATGAGACATGTAAATCCCTAAATCAACAAATCTGTAAGAATAAAACGCAACCTAAATAAATAGCAGATAAATTTTCAACCTGAGGCCTGTGCGAACACAGTTTCCATAAAACAGATTCGTCCTCTCACCGTAAATGCTTGAGATTTAATCTGAGCGTCTGTTTTTCAGGATACAATGACAAAATCTGTAGAATCTGAGCACCACATAAACTATTCTGGCGAACTAATACAGTGTCTGAACAATATCACAACGACCTTACTGGACAGATATGCGTATGCAATAAATCAAGACCTTACTGGACAAAGACACAGACAGAAATTGCAGGGGACGTTTTTTCTGAACAGCGATGAAGAAAACGTTTTTCTTTTTTCATCTGTGTAAATTGCTGGAAACTTGAGATTTAATATAGTATAAATCTGCCATTAACTCTATGAAAATTAACATTGGAGTTACTTCAATTTTTGGGAGTTTTGGAAGTTTCAAAAACTCAAAAGTCAGGTTGAGAAAGCAAGAAAAAAATTGCAAAATATAAGCTCTCCGAAGGGGCCAATTTTTACTTCGTTCGGTCCGACATTCGTGTACGCAGGTCGCGCTCGCACACAAATTCAAGGTCCGAAGGCTATTTTGATCCGAGATTTGCACCCCCCCTATGCATGCACATGGAGAGAGCCTCTATACTACATATGATTACACTCTTTCAATGTGCAACCATATTTAAAGTGGTTCTTGCTTTCTTCCTATTCTTATGCGGGACAAAAGCTATTTTCCCACATAAAACCATCTTCCAATGGTCAACTTTGAATTCTAATTTCTCATTCACCCGAGCTTCATTTTTGGCAAGTAAATATATGATTTTGATACTCTCACAGAGAAGAACACGGATCAACTTTGATATTCTAAATTGGACCAACGGATCTCACCGAAAATCTTGCCAAAAATGAGCTATTACTCATTTTTTCCAACAATCATCCACATAAATGAAAATTGGGAGAGACATGAGACCGTAAGACACGAGACTTGATGACCGTGAGACACAGGACTAGGTGATAATGTTCAACGGTTGAAGCCTGCATAGGATAGGTAGGTATTACCCTTTGAACCTTCCCTTGTGAAAGCATATTTACTTTACTAGCTGACCAGTAGACATGTTGTCCTTTAACTGTTCTACTA